CTCTCCTGTGACCCCAAATCTGGCCCCGCATATCAGAATGCTCAGACCACAGGGGCCCGCTTGCAGCCCCATGAGCCCTTGGAGCCACCACAGAGGTGCCTGCCTCCTCAGCACTCCACTCGGACCCCCACCCAGGCCTGTGGAGGGCCCAAGCGCCTCTGGAACCTGGACTGAGTCGGTCCCTGGCGGCAGCCGCCTTCGTCCGTGTCAGGAAGATCCCGAGACCCCAGCTGCTCAGGGTCAGCACTTGGCACCTGGCCTTCAGTCTACCAGGCGCCATTTCCGAATATTTCCTAGGAAAACTGCCGTGGAGTTGGGTGTACACCGTGTCTCACAGCCTAGGAAGGGGCCTCAAGGCCCTCGAGTGGTGGGGCTGAGGCTCAGGGAGGCTGCAGTTCTAGGAATGTGGGTCCAAGTCCAGTTCCTGCCACTTGGGCTTCCTCTGCGAGGCTTCCAGAGGGAGTGGCTGAAGGACCCACTGGTGAAACCAGACACTCACCCTGCCACCCAGCACCCGGCTCCGTGCCTGTCTCCTGTGGGGGCTCACACTGGACATGTTTAGGACAGAACCCCACCTCACCCCACTCCCCGCTCCTCCCCCATGCTGGCCCTCGGGGTCCAGACGGCCCCTCTCCCAGCCCCACTCCTGGCCTGGCTGGCCGGGCGCACTCTCTCCTGCTCCTCTGCCTCTGTCACTCTGAAGCTGGCCCTGCCCTCTAGTCTGCCCCTGTCAGGAGCCAGATGTCCCCGAGAGCAAACCGCATGGATCCCTTCCTTCAGGCCTCCACCCTTCCCCAGTCTCCCCCGCTTCATGGGGTCAAAGGTCAGGCTCCTGAACTCATTTCTGCCTAGTGACCCCCACCCGCCTTCCTGAATTGTTTGGTAAACTCAGTGTGAACCAGTCAAGTGGGGTCAGGGCACCGGTGCCTGGCCTCCCAGCTGTTACCATCCAGCGGCGAGGACCACGGATGATAGATACAGAGGCAGCACGATACACCCATCCTTCTAGGAAGGCCGCCGGGGGTGAGGGTGGGGTGGGAGGCCAGCATGCACAGACTGGCAGGAAGGGCTCACAGAGCACTGACCAGAAGGCTGGACACAGGCTGGTGGGAAGGCCGTCCCTGAGGGAAAGGCCCAGACGAGGGATGTCCATTGGATGGTCACTAGCCCCCGGGAAGGTTCTGTGGGGGAGGGGGCACTCACTGAGCTCAGGATCTCGGGGGGGGGGGCAGAGCTTGGAGGCACACCCCCACCCCACTCCCTGAACTGGAAACTGCGCTCAAAAGCCCTGGCTTTGGCCCGGCCGTTGTGGTTCAGTTGAGTAGTGTCCTGTGCACCCAAACGTTGCCGGTTCCATTCCTGGTCAGGGCACACGCCCAAGTTTGGGGCTTGATCCCCAGGTGGGAGCGTGCCGGAGGCAGCTGGTCAGTTGGTGGAAGGACAGAGCCCTGCGCTGGTGGAGAGGCCTGGAGGCTGCTCAGCAGCTGGGGGACAGTGTACTCCCGGAGCCCAGGGAGAGCGCATGGGAAGGAGCATGAGGGGCCGCATCCGTAGGGCTCTGGCACCGGGCTCTCTGAGTAGCTATTCAGAGCCAAGTGTGACCAGGGCAGTGGGCTGTTCCCAGGGTCCAGGGCTCCAACTCATGCTTCGGGACTGGGGGGGTGGGGGAGGTACCCCAGCACCCAGCCTATTGGCAGAGAGAGCTGGGGAGAGAGGAACCCTCTGGCATCCTCCTGCAGGTGGGAGTGTGTGACTGGTGGGGAGTAGGGGGGCTTCGAAGGTCCAGGCAGGGCCATGGATGGGGCCTTTGTGCCCTGGGTTCCTCCTCCCTGGGAGCCTGGCTATCGGAGCCCATGTGGGGGTGGGGGCGGCTCCTCTGTGCCTGTGACTCTGTGTTTGCACAGGGGGAGGGGCTGGCCGGTGCCAGCTGAGAGCCTCAAAGGGTCGGCCAGCGCCTCTGCAGATAAGGCATTAACAGTCCTGTGGACTCACCCTTCGGATCTGCTGACGCTTCCTTTCAGCCTAGGTGCTTGGGGTGAGGTGCCAAAGGTTCCCTATAAAGTGCTGGGGCTCCGGCTGTGTCCACTCGACCTCCAGCTCCTGCCCTGTCCTGACGAGAGGGACCCACCTGTGATCACCATGGTGAGGCTTGTTCTGCCCAACCCGGGCCTGGAAGACCGAATCCCCTCCCTGGGGCAACTGGAGGTCATCGAGAAGGAGGAGGCCAGCTCGCGGCCCAAGTGGGACAACAAGGCCCAGTACATGCTCACCTGCGTGGGCTTCTGCGTGGGCCTGGGCAACGTCTGGCGCTTCCCCTACTTGTGCCAGAGCCATGGTGGAGGTAGGCTGGGCAGGAGGGCAGGTTGGGGGTCCAGGCAAACAACACTGATGCCCGCAGCACCCCATTCATAGAGGGGAGAAGTCTGCAGGGCCAAGGGCTGTGGGCAGGATAGCACAGGCTCGTGCCCTCCACCCCTTCACTGGTCCACTTGAGCCCCACGTTGGCACCGAGAGCAGGCTGGGCAGAGGGCCGGGCTAGAGCACGGGCCCAGGTGCCGACATCTTCACTCTGCTCCCGTTCGCCCGAGTTGGCAAGGGAGGTCCAGTGCCCGGTCCCACACGCCCAAGTGTTTGTGTCAGTGGAGGCCACCCTTGCTCCAGGACCCAGGAGCCCTGACCTGCTCCCAGAGAACAGGCCTGACCTGCGAGGAGGGGAACAGAGAGGGACCAGCTGCTCCTCTGGGTGGAGCCCCTTCTGTGAGGGTGGATGGTACCATCAGGAGGGGCAGTGAGGCCAGCCCTCCTTTGAAATACCTTATGGCATTTCACATGAGGGACAGAGGAGGGAGTGGGTGACCCACAGAGGAACAGGCAGGCAGGTTCCTGATCAGCGTGCTCACGGCCAGAGGTGGGAAGGCTGCATCCCCCACAGAACGCTGCCTCAGCCGGTCCTGCTGCCCCCAGACGTCTCCGGGGCCTTGCCCGAGGCCCAGGGGTCTCTTTCCCCTGGGCTGAGGCTACTCCCTCTTCCCCAGCTGCAGAGACTGCCTTGGGGCTGCTGGGTCTCAGTCCCCATGATTTTGTCCTTCTACCCACCCTCCCAGTGTCAACAGGCTTTGGGGATGGAGATCACACCTGTGGTCCCATCAGCCCCCACGCACCTGTGGCTTTTGTCTCCCCTGGGCCCCAGCCCTGGGAGGGAGCTGCTGCCAGGAGCTCCGTGGCAGGAAGGGGAACAGAACTGAGCTTGTTCTGGGAGGAGGTCTGGGCAGGTGCTGCGCTCCCCGTGAGACAGGCTCTGCAGAGCTGGCTGGACACTCTGAGGATGTGTCTGCTTCTGTGGGCTGTTGAATACCCTCCTCTAAAAGCACAAACCCTCTCTAGTGACGTGAGTTTGTTCTTACTCTGAAGAACCTGCAGGCTCTCGCCAGGCTTTGTGGCAGAAAGGAAAGCAGATCACTGCTTTCCTTGTTCCCAGGCCACTGTTGTGACCCACCCCCCTTTCCATGGCCAAAACGGAAGCTTCTGAATGTCGGGGAGGATCTGTCTTTACACCTGGGGCCCATCCTGTGCTTTCCAGATAGTCCTGTCGGCCACCTCTGCGCGGTGGAGGGGTGAATGGAACCCTGGGAGTCCGTGAGGGGCCCAGCAGTAGAATCACTGAGTCCCAGAGGTCAGCTGCCTCTTCTCTCTGGAAGGTCCTGGTCATTTCCTCACCCCCACCAGGGCTGCCCTGGGCCAGGGTTCTGACAACACCTGCAGCATTTACTTAGTTCAAAGGGAAGGGACTAAGGGGGGAGGGGGGTCTGGGGCTGAGAAGCGTTCACCCCTGGGGTGCAGCACACACTCACTGTGAGTCTGAGGGGTAATGCGGGGACACTGCCTCCAGACACTGTGGATGAGAGGGAGCTGTCCCCCATCACCCTGGCTCCTGCTGAGTGGACAGACAGCCATTGAGGGCAGTGACAACCCCCCAGGCTCAGGAGACAATTGTTGAGGGCAGTGACAACCCCCCAAGCTCAGGAGACAATTGTTGAGGGCAGTGATAAGAAGCTGACACCAGGAGAAAATTGCCGAGGACAATGACAAGGTGTGGCAGGTGACTCCTCCGGGTGGCATTTCCCACGCCTGTAAGCCCAGATCTCCGGGAGGGAGTGGTTGGGTAACTGGAGAGAAAATGACGGATCTGAGGACTCTGAGGACCAGTCCTGGTTTGGTGAAAACTTAGTTTGCCTTCAATTATTTCTAAGAGTTTTGGGTAATTTGAAAAGTAAAACAAATCATCATTTGCTTTGTGTTTAACTTTATATTATGAAAAAAAAAAGCAGAAAAGTAGAGAAAGCCACAGAGAAGACCCCTGCCCCCATGACCTAGATCAGCATCTGCAGCACTTTGCCATGTTGGGTGGGGTGGTGGCCGCGTGCGAGTGCTGCGCACACAAAGCCCCTGCGTGCTGCGTGGCATTGAGAAGTGTTGTCACAAGAGGGCCCCACCTTCTAGATCTCGGATGGGGGCATCTCTGTGACCAAAGGGCAGGTAAATGGGGCACCAGGTGGGCCGTGTCCTCTAGCTGCATCACCTCAGCTGCCTCACCCTAGTTCTCTTTTCTCCGTCTTGTGCATCTGCCGCCAGCAAACAGTGGGGTGGAGTCACCTCTGCAGAGTCTGTCTTGCCACCAGTCAGAGAGGAAATGGGCTCGTGTCATGTGTCTCTCGATGGGTCAGTCAGGACTGAATCGGGTGGCAGGGGCAGCCCTGGTGAGGGGCCAGCGCCTCTCCTCATTCAGCCTTCAGGGAACAGAGAGAGGAGCTGGGGGACCCACGGCCCCTGTGTGGGTGCTGGGGCAGGTGGGCTCACGGGCCCTTTTCTGAAGACGGGTATTTCAAAGGTTTCAGAAGTCAGCCCTCAGTTGAGTTGATATCACCATCCGTGTCCTGGCCCTGTTTACTCTGCTGTGCACCTTCTGGGCCGTGGGGCTCACCCCATGAAATGGAAGGTGCTGGAGAGCTCTGATCCGAGGGCTGCACCACAGAGCTACTCTGTCGAGCTTTGCAGACCTAGAAGTGGGGGGCATGCAGGAGATTGAAACCAGGAGACTTGGTCAGAGTCAGGACTCACCCCGCTCCCTGTGTTGGCCACAAACAGCTGGGTCTCGGTGACCAGATAGTCAACCGTCAAGAGTTCTGCACCAGCACCAGGCCCAGGAGTGTGTCCAGGGAATTGCATTCACCACACATCTGCCCACAACCTCAGTTCTCCATATGAATGCACCACATGCCTGCCCCAGTGCTGCCACCTGACACATGGTGTGCCCCTCATCCCTTCTTAGGGACAGAGAGCTTAGGAGAGTTGGTGTATTGATGGGGTGGGCGGTAGGAAGCAGCGCCGCCCAAGGACCATGCTGTCTGCTCACCACTGGGCCGTCCATGTGCCTCTGCAGCCTGGTCCCTGAGACTGCCTTTCACCACTGGTCCTGCGCTGCACCCGGTCAGTACACAGTCCTCGAGCTTTTCCTCTGTGCCACGCACCACCTGCAGGGGAGATGTGGGAAAGCCTTAGACCAGCGGTTCTCAACTTGTGGGTCGCGACCCCTTTGACAGTCGAACGACCCTTTCACAGGAGTCGCCTAAGACCATCCTGCATATCAGATATTTACATTACGATTCATAACAGTAGCAACATGACAGTTATGAAGTAGCAACGAAAATAATTTTATGGTCGGGTCACAACATGAGGAACTGTATTTAAAGGGCCAGAAGGTTGAGAACCACTGCCTTAGACCCTGCCCTTGAAGACAGCAGCTGCCCCTACCCAGCCGTCCCTCCCCTCCCCTCCCGGACCTGTTTCCTAAATTCTCAAAGAGAAAGAAAGCTGCATCTATTTATTTTATTTTAGCTTATTTACTTACTTATTATTGATTTTTTATTGATTTGAGAGAGAGAGAAACATTGACTTATTGTTCTATTTATTCATGCATTCATTGGTTGATTCTTGCATGTGCCCTGACTGGGGATTAAACCCCCAATATTGAGGTATCGGGACAACGCTCTAACCAACTGAACTACCCGGCTAGGGCCAAGGAAGCTGCATTTCTATGCTAGTGTATCTTTCTTTTGCGGGACCTTTACACCTTGCCTCGTCCCACCTGTCTCTGCCTCTGTGTGTGTGTCCATCAGTGTGATAGGGCACAGGACCGCGGGCCCCTACAGCCAGGTCTGTCAGCCACCTACCACGTTAAACCTGGAGGAGCATCCAGGAGGAGGGCTTCCTAAGGAGCGACTATCCAAGCGGGGTTTTCAAGGGTGAATAGGAGTTTCCTGGTGGAGATGGAGGGGCAGTGGGACCTGCGGGTCAAAGTGACTTCGTGAAGTAGGGATGGGATCAAAGGATACCTGGGAACCACAGACTTTGTTTTCCTCGATAGTTTTGCCCAAAAGACATTCACATCAAACTTCTGAGAAAACAGTAAAGAGGCAAATCTTTTCTTATTTTAACTCTACCCTCACTGATACTCTGACCCAGTGAGCTTGCAGCCACAGTGGTACCTCAGACCCAGGGCAACTCCCCACTCCTCTCCTGCAGGGGATCCAGCAAGGGGATCATCCCTGCTGCTTTCTGCTTTTCATCTCATTGGCACAGTGAGCTAACCATCACCTTTGAGTGAAGGTCCCCTGTGCTGTCCATGTCTTCTTGTTGGATTTTGAGCCCCCAAAGGGCTCCCCTTGGCCTCCCTATGCTCCTCCCAGTATGTGGACACCTTCCTTAATTCCCCAGGAGCTGTCATGTGCTCACCCTGTAGGACAAGCACGGTCTAAGAGGGACAGTAGACAAGCTGGCCACTGTTGTGAGATGGCATGAAGCATGCCCCATAAAACAGTGCCAATGGCCGTCATGAGTGGTCCATTTGATGGTGTTGCTCTAAGTCTGTATTTGTGGGCAAGTTCTGCAGGCACTTTCTACCAGCGCCTGTGTCTCCAGGGGGGCCCGTGGCCACCTGGCTGTGTTACCTGACACACGGCTGCCTCTTCCCCACCAGGAGCATTCATGATCCCGTTCCTCATCCTGCTGGTTGTGGAGGGTGTCCCTTTGCTGTACCTGGAGTTCGCCATCGGGCAGCGACTGCGCAAGGGCAGCGTGGGCGTCTGGAGCTCCATCCACCCAGCCCTGAAGGGCATAGGTGCGTGTCTGGGCCCAGTCGGTGGGACGCCTGCCATGCCCCAGTGTGGGCAGCAAGCACACTTCTTCCTTTTCACCCCTGCTTCCAGGGGACTCACCAGCCCCAGCCCTCTCCAAACCCTTCCTTGGCATCTCACAGAAGTATAGGTGGCAGGGCCCAGGCTGGGGTCATGCCTGGCCACTAAAGCCAGCTGGGCAGCAGAGGCTATCCTGAATCCCAGGTGCCCGGGGCCTGGGAATGTGTATACGTGGGGAGAGCTGAGGCCCCCATGCTGCCTACAGCAAGGCTCAACAAGCACCTGAAGACCACCACTCTGTTTTCTGGAACCCTGAGTCCATTCACACTCAGTCCTCAAGGGGCTCCCCCAGCACAACCTCTTCCTGCTAACAGTGCCCAGACCCCAGTGGGGCCCCCCAGTGGTGCCCCCTAGTGGCGCCCCCAGCAGTGTTGATTGCCCCCCAGGGATCGCGTCCATGTTCGTGTCCTTCATGGTGGGCCTCTACTACAACACCATCATCGCCTGGGTCATGTGGTACTTCTTCAACTCCTTCCAGGAGCCCCTCCCTTGGAGCACGTGCCCACTCAACGACAACCTGACAGGTGTGTCCAGGGCAGGGTGGGGTCAGGGGTCGGGGGACAGGATGGCTGGTGGTGTGAGAGCATGTGCACCTTTGAGCACACAGACCGAGTCCATGAGTAGTCACCCTTTGATTTACTCAAATGCAAAAATCGGGGCACATTTATGGCAACAGGGAATTTTTAAAAATCACTGTGCCAGAGAAAAGCCCTTAGAAAAGGTGCCTCCATCTCAAGAGGTGGTGCCGGCCAAGATTAAAACGAAGGAAAGGAGGGAGGGACCTGCTGCTCCCTGACCTTATACAGGGGGTGGCCTGATTCTCCACTGTCCCTTCCCACCACATTCCCCAGGGCCTTTTTGGGACCCCCTCCAGGGAAGGGAAGAGGGGAGCAGACCCTCTGCCTGGGGCCTCTGTGGGACACAGGCTGTGTGCTCAGCTCCACAGCTTGCACACATTTGCATCAGGACACAAACTGCATGATCTGTAAGCATGGGTCTAATAAGCAGGAAGTGGTCAGTGCACAGTGTGTGTATGTGTGTGTGTATGCATGTCTAGTGTGCTCACACTTCTGTATGCACACATATATGCACATGTGCACATGTTTGCATTCAGGTATGCCCATGGGTACATATGTGTCTTGTGAGTGTGTATATGTGTGCATGTGCAAATGTGTGAAGGTATGCTCGGACGCATGCACATGAGCATGTCTGTGTGGGTGTGCACACATGTGTGTACATGCATGCTGCTATGCTTGTGTACATGCACACGTGTCTGTGTGGGTGGGTGTGTACATGCATGTCTGTGTGCACTATGTCCCTGGTGTCAGTGAGTTGGGAGCGAAGCATTGCCATGTTCCCCAAATTCCTCCTGGGTTCCCTGTGATCCACACTGATGATGTGAGTGCCCCCTGCAGGCTATGTGGACGAGTGTACCCGCAGCTCTCCAGTGGACTACTACTGGTACCGAGAGACCCTCAACATCTCCAACTCCATCAGCAACTCGGGCTCTGTGCAGTGGTGGATTCTGCTCTGCCTGACCTGTGCCTGGTGTGTCCTCTACGTATGCACCATCCGTGGCATCGAGACCACTGGCAAGGTGCGGGCTGGGCTTCAGGAGCTGCCCCTTAATCAGCTCTGAGGGTCACCACCCGTGTCCAGGAGGTGCCTCTGCTGCCTCCAGCTTGGCCCTGGGGATGTGGTGCTGGCATGGATGGTCCTCAAACCTGTGCTTAAAAAGCTGCAGCAGGAGTGACCCACAGTAGTTCTCTGACTAGGAGAACTGAGTAGTCATCATTACTAACATAGCAGTAGGAAACGTCAGATCTCCCTGCCCTGGGAGCTGGGGGCAGAGGGGTGCCTGGAGGAACAGAGCCAGGGTCCTTTCTTCCTGTGGTGCTGTCTTCCCCTTCATCCCACTTCTGCCCTGTCTCCAGGCTGTGTACATCACCTCGACGCTGCCCTATGTCGTCCTGACCATCTTCCTCATTCGGGGACTGACGCTAAAGGGAGCCACCAACGGTATCGTCTTCCTCTTCACGCCCAATGTGAGTCTCCCGCTGCCCACTTTGGGGCTCCAGTTCTTGTGGGAAAGGCCACCCTGGAGGATGGGCCTCCCACCTGAGACCAGCCCTGGCCAGTCCTAGGCCCCTCAATGCATGCATGCTGGGCCTCTGAGCTTGAGGCAGGCCCTGTGCGGATTGATGGCAACCACCTCCAAGGTATCAGTTACCACCTTTAGGGGGCGTTGTTTGTTCTGACCACCTGCCCAGCAGCCTCAGCTGTCCCCAGCCTCCAGGCTCACATCTCTGCCCTGGGCTACTACCTCCTTGGTTTCCTGTGGCCCCTCGTCCTTGGGGTACAGCTGAGGGTCTCTGTTTGGCTGCAGGTCACGGAGCTGGCCAACCCACTGACTTGGCTGGATGCGGGGGCCCAGGTCTTCTACTCCTTCTCGTTGGCCTTCGGGGGCCTCATCTCCTTCTCCAGCTACAACTCTGTCCAGTGAGTGTGGACAGGGGTTCTGCGCTGGGCAGAGGGCTTTCCTCATGACCCACGGGATCATGGGGTCCATGGGGCTCCGTGCCAGGGAGGCAGGCTTAGGATCTGGGAGATTTTCACACACTAGGTACCTTAAGCGTTGACTGTCCTCCCCGTGGTGCCTTGGTCCTGGGGATGATGATCCCTGGTGTGCTCCCCTCCATCCCCTATAGCCCCTTCTGGTTGCCCCTCGGCATCCAGGACTCTAGGTGCCCAGCCACCACAGTCCATCCTGTGCCCCCTATCCCACCCTAGGGGCCTTTGGAGGGAGGAAGTTGTTATCAATTAATCTCACAAACACTTACAGAGCACCTACTGTGTGCCCTGAATGAAGCATGAGGTTTTGTCCTCCTGAGACCTATGTCTGTGGCCTCTTAGAGAGACAAACAAAATGAGCGGGAGGAGGGGTCCCTGGAGGGGTGTGGGACCAGGCTGGGGTCCTCAGTAGGATGGGCTTGTGTGCAGAAGGTGCAGTATGAGCACTCGGACAGGTAGGGGGTGAGTGTCGGTGCCTGCTGGCTGCTGGCCGCTGGCTGTGGAGGATGGTCCCAGAGGGTGGGAGCCCAGCAGGGCAGTGGTGAGGCCCGATTTCTCCACACCTGTTACTATCTGACTTTTTGATGAAGTGTCTCGCTGTGGGTTTATTTGCATTTCTCTGAGGACTGAGGGTCTAGGTTTCTGCTGGAAGCATCTAGAACAGCGGTTCTCAACCTGTGGGTCGTGACCCCTTTGGCGGTCGAATGACCCTTTCACAGGGGTCGCCTAAGACCATCCTGCATATCAGATTTTACATTACAGTTATGAAGTAGCAACGAAAATAATTTTATGGTTGGGTCACAACATGAGGAACTGTATTTAAAGGGCCAGAAGGTTGAGAACCACTGACCTAGAAGGATGTGTTAGCATTAGCATTGGGGCCAGTGGGAGAGCTGCTGGGTTGGGTTGGGGAGGTCAGGGGTTGGGTTTTGGACACATTGAGCCAGGGAAGCCTTTAGACTCTGGGTGGAGATGGGAGCCCTCAGCTGGGAGGAGACAGGACCTGGAGGGACCAGGCGAAGGCAGGGGGGTACGGTGGGATAGGGGGCACAGGAGGTGATGGGAGAGGGGCGTGGAGGGGTAGGCCACCTCTTCAGAGCTTTTGGGGTGTGGCTGCAAGGCCCTGGCCCGTCCCAAGGCATGAGGCTGAGTGCTCACTGAGTGCCCACCCTCTGGGCGCAGAGCACCTGCTGACCAAGCAGGAATTGGCACGGGTTTCCCACCCGGCTTTGGAGTGTGAAGGCTCTAGAAGTCCCCAGGGCTTTCAGGGGTCTCCAGGCCACCAACTTGCAGCGAAGTGGTAAGAAGGGGAGGAGCAAAGGGCCACCGGCTGGGGGATGGCCCTCTGGTCACCTCTCGCCGGGTGCAGTCGGGGAAGGACAGCTGGGAGGCTGTGTCCCCTCTCCCGCAGCGCCCCAGCAGCTCAGGCTCAGGGCAGATTCCTTGCCTGTGCTGACGTGGCCGGGCAGGTGGGCACGGTATCTCGGCCTGCAGTGACCCGATGCCACTCTCATCTGCAGCAACAACTGTGAGATGGACTCGGTGATCGTATCCGTCATCAACGGCTTCACATCCATGTACGCAGCCACCGTGGTCTACTCCATCATTGGCTTCCGTGCCACAGAACGCTATGACTCCTGCTTCAACCAGTGAGTGCTCCTCCCGGCCCACACCCACCTCCGAGGAGCCTGCCAGGCCTGCACCACCCAGAACCTCACTCTCTTTTCTCTCCAGGAATATCCTGACACTCATCAACGGGTTCGACTTGCCCGAAGGCTCTGTCACCGAACAGAACTTCGAGGAAGTACAGCAGTGGTACAATAACACTTACCCCGCAGCCTTCGCCCAGCTGCAGTTCCAGACCTGCGACATGAACTCTTTCCTGTCAGAGGTGAGCGCGTCTCTCTGGGGCAGCGCAAGGCAGGGGAGGGGACACCCTTGAGGGTCATTGACCTCCCCCAGGATCTCAGTTCCTGGGGGCCTGTCTCCATCCTCACGGCCTGCCCGCCTCTGATCCTCCTGCCCCACCCTGGTGCTTGCACCCCTAGGACCCCTCAGTCACATACCTGCCCTGCACCTGCTCTAACTGGCTCTAACCAATAATGGGCGATACCTTCAGCGCAGCTATTTAGGAAACTCATGCAGGCCCTGTTGAAGTTATTCGGGGCTCTTAACCTGGCCATATGGGGTGCATCTCAGGAATCGTCTGTGGGGGTGTGGCGCCCTGTCTGTGAGCAGATGGCAGTCTGCATAGCTGTCACATGTCTGTCCAGACAGCTCGGGCCCTGACTGCTGCTGGAAAACGCGATCCCTTTCCTGCCATTTTAACTAATTCAGCTTTTAAAAACATAGTTGGGCTGAAGAGACAATGACTGTATTTCACGGGACGGCTCAAAAGAGCCCCATACCTGCACAGTGTGGGCGTAGCCTGTGGAGAGCTGACCAGTGTTTGGCAGGGAAGGATGTATGTGACTGAGGCCGGGGGACCTGGGGAGGGACTGCCCTGTGTGGGTGACACTCTGCTTGTCCATGCAGGGCGTGGAGGGCACGGGGTTGGCGTTCATTGTCTTCACGGAGGCCATCACCAAGATGCCCATATCCCCACTGTGGTCCGTGCTCTTCTTCATCATGCTCTTCTGCCTGGGCCTGTCCTCCATGTTCGGGAACATGGAGGGCGTGGTCGTGCCCCTGCAGGACCTCAAAGTCTTCCCCAAAAAGTGGCCCAAGGAGGTGATCACAGGTACACAGGCCAGGGCTTGGCTGGGCAGGCAGGTGGTGAGGACAGGCCTCAGGGGCCATGGGTGAGGAGTCAGACGGGAGCTCTGTCCACAGCGACTGTTCTCTGCCCCCAGGTCTCATCTGCTTTGGGTCATATCTCATCGCCTACATCTTCACACTGAACTCCGGCCAGTACTGGCTCACCCTGTTGGACAGCTATGCCGGCTCCATCCCCCTGCTCATCATCGCCTTCTGCGAGATGTTCGCTGTGGTCTACGTGTATGGCGTGGACAGGTAGGAGGGAGACCGAGGCATGTGGCCGTCTCCAACAGTCATAGGAAACTCGAATCCTGGGATGAGTTGTGTGGGCTCCAGTTCCAGGTGGAACACAGGTGTGCGAACACAGGCCTGAGGGACCGGTGTGGTGTGGGCACGGGTCTGGCACCTGGATGGGTGAGATGGAAAAGAGATGGATCCCAGATGGATGCCTATCCAGAGCAGTTGACACTGTACCCCCTCCAGCCTCCAGGTGCTCCCAGACGTAGCAGAGAAGGGTAAGCGCAGACCATAAAAGACAGCATAGTCTCAGGGGTGGGAGAGAGGAGACAGCCTCACACATGAAAATGCTGGCGCCTCTGACTTGACCATGTGATTTAAAAACATTTAAACCCACGTGTCCCAAGCAAAGTCAAAAGAGAAATAATTAGCCAGGGAAGCAGTTGCCCAGCTGAGGGTGAAGCGCTGGTACAACAGAAGCCCTCGGCAGGCGAGATGTGACAGAGGGACTGGATAAGGCAGAGGGTGCTCGGTGTCCTGTGGGGCACAGAAGCTGCCTCCAGGGCTGTGGAGCAAGTAGGGGGTGGGGGTGGGGGGCATACCGACAGGCCCGAGACACTAGCTGTGGGTAAGGCGTGTCCCTGTGATCCAGGCGCTGGGTGTTTATGTCAACTGGGGATCCGTGGCCAGGGAAGCCCTGTGGTGGGTGTGCTCTGGGCCTTTCTCGGGGGAGAGAGGGCTCTGCAGACAGACAGGCACTCAGACAAAGAAGGGGGCTGTGCAGCCCTTCCAGCCATGCACTTGGCCAAATACTCGGGGTATCACTCCGTTATCCTCGATGTGAGGGGCCCAGAAAACGGCACCATCTCCTTGCCAGGAGCTGGACTCGCCACAACTTCAGAAATAAGACAACATGCACAAGCCATCGAGGGTGGGGGACCCCACTTTATGAATCCTGTTCTGCGTCACCACGACACATGTGTGTAAGGGCACACGCGCAGAAGGCCTGACTCAACCACACAGTGCACACTGCTGGGTGGCAGTCACGGAGACGCTGAGGAGCGTGTGGCGGACTCACTGTGCCGTAACCTCAGCACGTGCCGGGGATGGAGGCTTAAACGGAAGTGCACGGTGTTGTCGTGTGGGCGCTGCTGATGTGAAGCAGGCATGACTGGCCTGGTGCATGCATGTCCTCTGCGAATGGCCAAGGACACTTAGAAGTCAGACACTCGCTGCCGGGGTCCCAGGCAACTCGGCCTCAAGGAGGCCCTCTGAGAGGGAGGCTGAGAGCCAGGCATGGCCCCACGCTGAAGAGACTCGTCACCACACCCCCAGACTCTGCTGGGAACAGGCCTGGGCACCTGTCCTTCTCCAGAAGTGGGCTCACAGGGGTCCTGGACAGTTCACTCTGTTCTGATTTCTGTAGACCACAAAGTATTTTGTGCAGAAGAGAGTTTGGCACAAACTTGGGCAGGGGATGGTGGGGCCTCCAAGGTCAGGGCCACCGCCCGGCTGAGGACGTGGGCTGAGGTTTCCTTCCTCCGTTCCCCCCAGAAGTGTTGACCCTTATTTGCAAGGGTGGCTGCCCAGGCTGTGTGAGGCCACAAGTCGGAGCACCTGGGCTGTGGCTCCATAGGGAGGTTTCCAAAGGCCTCCAGCGAGGCTACCACTGCCAGCGGCTTCCCAAGGAAGCGAGCCTTTGCTCAGAGGCCGGCTAGAGCTGTGACGGCGAAAGGCAGGGGCAGCACTGTAGGATGGCACCGCCTGTCTGTATGGAGAGGCTGGCCTGTCCTCCGCTTTGGTGGCATTAAAGGCCCAGGATGTCCACCAGCTGATGGCTCCTTTCTGGCCTCTGCTTCCAGGTTCAACAAGGACATCGAGTTTATGATCGGCCACAAGCCCAACATCTTCTGGCAAATCACGTGGCGAGTGGTCAGCCCGCTGCTCATGCTGGTCATCTTCCTGTTCTTCTTCGTGATCAACGTCAATAAGGAGCTGATATACAGCGTCTGGGACCCTGCCTATGTGAGCGTGCAGGGACTGCTGGCCGGGGTGGGGGGCATGCCTCCGTGAGGAGGCATGTGGAGGCAGAGGAGATGGGGGACACATGGGGGGAAGGGGATGTGGGGAAGGTGTGGGGGCAGAGGAAGTAAGGGAGGCATGGAAGACAGAGGAGGTGGGGGAGGTGTGGGAAGCAGATGTGTGGGAGGAGCCTTAGGTCTCCCTTCCCTCCCCCACAAGGGCCAGGAGGTGAGAATCTTGGGGAGAAGGGGGCACTGTGCCCCTGAAGGAGACCTTGCTGGCTGTCTTTGTGTCTATTCACCATGTGGCTGCTCTCTCCACAGGCGGAATTTCCCAAATCCGAGAAGGTCCCATACCCAAGCTGGGCATATGGCGTGGTGGTTATCGTTGCTGGCGTGCCCTGCCTCAGCATCCCTTGCTTTGCCATCTACAAGCTCATCAGGAACCGCTGCCAGAAGCAAGAAAGCCAGCAGGGGCTGGTCAGCACCATGTCCACAGCCTCCATAAATGGGGACCTGAAGTACTGAGTGCCCGCGGCTGCATGTGTGCATGTACAGATGCATGTGTGAGCATGTGCATGTGCACATGGGTATATGTATATATACATAAATGCATGTATATATAGATGAGAGTATGTATAATGCATGTATGTACATTATATGTATATGTGTACATATATGTAAGTCACATGCACATGAGTATGTGTGCACATGTGAGTGTATATACATGTGCTTCTGTGTATGTGCCTATATGATTTTGTGTACATATGAATGAGTGGTACACACGTGTCAGCACATACCTATATATGTATATGAATACATACAAATGTGCATGTGGCTAAGCATGTGTACATGTGTGCATATACATATGTGTTGGTGCATATGTGTGTATGCACATGCTAGTTGTGTATTTATAACTGTGTGGTTATGTATGTGGCATGTATAATATCCTGTGGGTATGTGTGTGCATGTATGTACACATACATGTTGTCCTGCAGCATACATGTCTCCCACGTGGGGCCCAGCTGTCCTCTTGGTTCCCTGCATCACGGATGTGGTGCGGCCTATGCTCGGGTCCTGCCCTGCCTTCCAAGGGAAAGTCAGTCGAAAGCAACAGCAGGAGATGGGGATGTGTTGCTGCCTTGGCTCCTTGGAACACTCTTGTTGCCCCTCCCCGTCCCTTCGCTGTCCACCCTGTGACCTAGGAGCTCCTGTAGGAATGTTGCAATTTTACCCTGTCTGCAAGAGGCCTCAGGCCCCTAGGCCAGCAAGACCCAGCTGGCAGAGAATCCCGAGTCTTGGCAATGTTCCAGCTTAATAAATATTAACCCATTTAATTATTGCTTCTGGCTGCCACAAATAGATGACAGTTAAATAAAACTCAACTTGGCATAATTGAAGGCAGAAACACCCTTTGTGTTTTTTTAAGAGGATATTAACTGTGTGAATTTTTAGCCCGATGTTGGAAAAGATGGGTTATAGGGTAACTCAGCTTGGTCACTGCGGTTAAGCACAGCTCATATGTCCTGAGCAATGTCAGGGACCGTGAGCCCCTGCCAGACCGTCCACTTGGGGCTACTTAGTGAAGGGAAGGTCTCCGCCCCATCATGGATGCAACATTCAACCTCAGCCAAAGTCACTTGGCACTTGGGGTGTTTATTTCAATGAACTGGTCACTTCCATTTCCCATGGAAACATCTGGAAGTTTAAGTTAAAGTGGACTTTTTGAGAGTTCTCTGGGCAGATTCGAGAGAACTGAGTAGAGGGTGGGACCTGCTGTCACATCCCATCCATCCACAGGAGATGCCTCACTGCACGCTCCCCTCTCCCAGCGCCTCCTGTGCAGCAGCGACCACAGATTTCAGCCCTGAAACCCGGCTGAAAACCTCCAAACACCTCGGCATGTCTGCAGTCCTCTTACACGGCCGGTCACCTGACCACCATGATCTATAGAAACCTCCAGAGGTGGGATGGGAGGCCTGCTCACAGCTCTCCACCCCAGGCCACGTTAGCACATCCCTGCCCAGGAGGCCCACAGGCCCCACCACGCTCTGGTCCCCACCACCAGGTGCCACTGGCCTCTATGGGCCCTCACCTCCTCCTCTCCACAAAGTTCTGACCCTTGATTGGGAAACGCTCATCAGCATCCGGGGGTGCAGGAGAGGAGAGACTGGGTGGGCTAATCCCACCAGTTCCTGTCCCCTGATGGGTGCCTCATTTTACAGATGTGCTAGCTTTGCAAATTGTTAGACATGCAGGTTTTATGAACATAAAGTGTATAAATAAATCATTGTATTTCATATTCTCAGCCTAACTGTTGTTCAAATGTAGAGGGATGAGCGGAGGGAGCAGCCGAGCCATCTGAAAGGATGGTGCAGAGCTGGGGTTCTGTTTCCAGGGCTTCCTCTGAAGAAGCCAAGGCCTGGTGTTCACGGAGCACAGGTGTGGTGGGTGGGGTGGCCCTGTGTGCAGTGGGTGTCACCCTGCCCACCTGCTGCCTGAGGACAGCAGTGGATGATGAGGGTGGCACTGGGTGCTGAGTGTGGGGGGAAGCTGCAGGGCTAAGAGGAGGAAGCCCATCCTACCCCACCCCCAGCCCTGACCCCAAAGGTCACCACTGTGTGATTCCATTTATATAACATTGTTGAAATAACAACTATAGATTAGTGGTGTCAGGAGTTAGGGAGAGGGTAGAAGTGGAAGGATGGTTGGTGTGTCCATAAGAAGAGACAGGAGGTGCCCTAGCTGGTTTGCTCAGTGGATGGAGCGTCGGCCTGCGGACTGAAGGGTCCCAGGTTTGATTCCAGTTGGGGGCGCGTGCCCGGGTAGCGGGCTCTATCCCCAGTGGGTGGTGTGCGGGAGGCAGCCAATCAATGATTCTCTCTTATCATTGATGTTTCTATCTCTTTCGCCCTCTCCCTTCCTCCTTGAAATCAATAAAAATATATTTTTAAAAAGAAAGAAAAAGAGACAGGAGGGACCCTCTGGTGATGGACAGGTCCTGAGCTGACATATGGACATCAACATCCCATTGTGATGTTGACAAGATAGTTGCAAGATGTTGCCACTGGGGGAACTGGGTGCATGGCTCTCTGTAGTATTTCTTAGACGATTATCTCACAATCAAGATAGCCAAGTGTGCCCCAGTCTTGGGGCCCCTTAGTGTCCCCGCAGGGAACAGGGGCCCTTGTTGGAAATGGTTCATTGGTGGTGGCACCTGCGGGCTGTCAGCACCGGGCATACGAGATGGGAGGGGGCCAAGGAGGGGCTGCGTGCCAGAGCAGGGCCTGGCTGAGTTAGCAATTAACTGGATCTATGGCTTTCCTTTAAATAACAAAAAAAATACACCTGAAGGGGAGACTGCTCCTTGCTTCAAGGCCCAGCCGAGGCTCAAGCATTGAGTCTCCAGGGTTCCAGAGACCAGGCATGGCGAGCGCCCCGGGACCAGACCCACTGGGGGACAGCAGCGAGGATGAGAGGCCCAAGTGGGACAACAAGCTCCAGTATCTCCTGAGCTGTGTGGGGTTTGCCGTGGGCCTGGGCAACATCTGGAGGTTCCCGTACCTGTGCCAGAGCCACGGGGGAGGTGAGCCTGTGCCGGCCGCATCCTCAAACAGGAGAAGGGGAGCGGTTGCACCTCGGCCTGGGTCATCACTGGTTCCTGCCGGGTGGGAGTGGTCCTTCCAGAAAGAGCGCTACGCCATGGCCCAGGGAGAGACCGTCTGAGGGCATCAGAGCTCTTGGGACCCAGGCGAACCCTCCCAACGCTGCTCCTGCCCAGCCTTGCCTTGGGGTTGCCCCTGTGTCAGACTTGCCAGGTCTTTGGTTCCTGAGTCTTTGCGCTGTCAGCTCCTTGCTCTCTTTGAAAGAAGTTGGGCTATGAGCATTCCTAAGACAGCAGGTCTCCACAGGAGGCTGCGGGTCTATGGGGAAATGCAGCCTGTTAGAGTCTCTCTCTTTTTTTTTAAATTGATTTTTAGAGAAAGGAAGCGGGTGGGGTTGTTGTTGCATTATTTAAGCACTCATTGGTTGATTCTTGTATGTGCCCTGAAAAATTGGCATATCCGGACGATGCTGTAATCAGCTGAGCTACCAGCCAGGGCAGCAGAGTCATTTTATTGCTAGAAGGACACGACTAAAGCCGTGAGCTTGTCTCTCTTGGCGCAGCGTGAACGTGCGTGAGGACTTGAGGGCACAGACAGGCACGAACCACCCTGGGCAGCCGTCCTGGATCAGCTCCAGATTTTGTCCCCCGACATGATGAGCAGGGACTTCCCAGCCGGGGCTCATTCTTCTCTGGGGCCCCACCCTCTGGTTGTCCTGCCTCCGTGCCAGGTCCACTTGCCTTCCAGGCACCTCTGCTCCTGAGCGACTTGAGGGCTCCCAGAGGGTCCCTCGAGGTGATCACCAGGCCCCAGGAGGTCTCTGGGGAAGCATTTCTTTGGGCAATTCCTCCGGCCCTTCCTGCCTCGGAAGCGAGGGTCGAAGGAAGGTCTGGGTGGGTGGGTGAGCTCTCCTCCCACGCTTTCTGGTCAGGAGCCATCCTTTCCCACTTTCAGGGCAAGCGGGTGGCTGTCCTGGTGGCCACGGGAGCCAGAGGACAGGGCTGAGTCTGAGGGAAACGGGCAGGAAGGCCTGGGCTCTGCGGGAGCTCCGTGGCTCCACTCCGCAGAGCAGAGCAGAGCAGACAAAGGCACTGCTTGATGTGGCTTGCCTGGTTATGAGGGCAACACTTCTGTAAAGTTTGCTTATTTTTTCTGAATATAAGAAGGTTCATGGCATGTAGAAATTTTCGGAAAAGTAGACGAGATGGAGGAAACTTGCCGGTCACTCGCCCCCAGAGGTGTCAGAACCTTTATGGGGGTTTGGGGCAAGGCAGCACCTTGAGCCTTGTGTCTCCCGACAGTAAGCCTCCCCCAGGCCCCTCGGAAAGCTCACAGTACCATTCTCCCGACAGCCCGGGGAGGCCACAGGGTCTGGGGTGGGAGAGCCGGCCCGGTCTGCAGGCCTTGCAGGCAGAGGCTGCAGGTCCTGATCATGCTGGGTGCCCGGGTCTGTGGCTCTGGGAGAAGCCAGGGCTCCTCTCACATGGCTCAGCCACCAGGACCAAGCTTTCTGTTCTGCTCCTTCCACTGTACTGAGGGACAGAGAGACAGGTCCCACCCCAACACGGGGCACAGCTGGGCAGACAATCTGAGGCACTGACCTTCCCCAGAATTCTGTGTGAATGGGGCAGCTCCACGTCCCGAGGGAGCCGGTCACCAGGGGTGACGGGGTCTCAATAGGAACAGAACAGCCCATTTGCTGATGAAAGCACCCCCGAAGCACTGACAAGCTGGATGCAGCCAGGTGATTTAAGACAGCCACACCGGGCCCCAGGTGCGCTCCGTCCCCTCTCTGGGAGGCCGCGGTGATCGTCCTGCCCAGGTGCCATGCCCTGCTGACCACACCGTCCTTGCAGGGGCCTTCCTCATCCCCTACCTCATCGCCCTGGCCTTCGAGGGGATCCCGCTGTTCCACATCGAGCTCGCCATCGGCCAGCGCCTGCGCAGAGGCAGTGTCGGGGTGT